CCGGAGGAGGAAGCCGGTGTTAGGGAAGAGCGGAAGGACGTTTCCACATGAGGATTTTAAGCATTTCCACCTCGTTTAGATGAATGTGAGACTTCCACGTGTGTTTACATGACAGAGAGAGCAGGTAGCGGCAGATTTTAACCAGCTTCAGCCTCTAATCTGCACACGTTGAAAGCGCCTGCGCGCCCAGTTGTATTTGTGAGATGCTAAAGATGACTTCTCTGAGACGTTTGGTGCACAGCAGGGTGCTGCTCCACCTGAGCGAGTCTCCAGGTGTGCACAGCTCCCTGCCCAGGTGCGGCAGGCTGCTCAGCACCTCCAGCAAGTGCAGGACTGTCATGCCCGCCTGGGTCATTGATAAATACGGAAGCAATGAGGTCTTACGGTTCACCAAGAACGCCAGCTTTCCCATCATCAACTATCCCAATGAGGTGATTGTCAAGGTGTTTGCAGCAGGACTCAACCCCATCGACGTCGCCATGAGAGGTGAGCGCGATTCAAGGCTGGCAAACGAGAACAGCAGCCGCACAGCGGTTGTTTTCTGCTCTGTGGTCGAAATGAGTCAGAATGAGAGTGGCCCCTCCTCCACAAACCGCAGCATATCACTGTGGGGCCGGTTATTGTGGGGTGCACGTAAAGCGGAAAGTCTGTTTCACAGTTTACATTTTTGCACGTAGGTGCAAGAAAACACATTGTGATAAATCTGTGGTTCTTATCAGGATGAGCCAGAGGCCCGGGCCCAGCTCCAGGGGCCCCCAGGGCAGCTCTTATAGGCACTGTTAGATAAGATATCATTTACTTATCTGAAAATCACTGCAGCCAAAACAATAAACACAGCCTATAACAGGTGAAAAAAAGAAGCTCAGTAATGGAAAAGTGCACAAAAGGAAAAAGATGAATGAATAAATTAAAACTTTTAAGAGTGGAATAATTTAAAAAAGGAATAAAATGTGCATGACTCACTATGATGATATAAAAACTGATTATCACAGAGCTGTTAGTTTA